AGGAGGGGTAGAGGTAGACCTAGATTAGATTACTGTTCGCAAATAGTTAAGGATGTGGGCTGTTCTAGTTTTAGGGAAATGCGAAGATTAGCTCAGGATAGGAAAGAGTGGAGGTACGTGTCCAACCAGTCTTAGGACTGAAATTTTAAATACTGTCACGAGACCTATTCAGTTTATAAATTCACCGACCAAAAGTCAAGTTTCGCATTACCTAGCAGGTGTTTCTTGGTTTAAACTTTAAAACATTCATGTTCAGAAGATTCTGAACATATAATGGGTTTACTCAGATTTCTGACTGGAGTAGAGACGTCACAGATCGTCGTTGCTCTACCGTCTTAGCTTTTCTGCTAGCGCCAGTCACGTGAAAGGCTCAACAGCAGCCGCTTGTTTATGATAAACCGAGGTTGAATTTATTAAGGACCCTTACACCTTCAAACTTCATCGATTGAACTTACATTGACGGAATCGTCTAACATCACCATGAATACTGCTACACACATACATACATCAATACATTGATTCTTGACGGCTGTTCGGTATGCCCGCAGGCAGAGATCGGTCGACGGTCGGCAATCTTTATGCTAGACGCCGAGATCGATGAATTATACCGTGAGTGACACATATTTGCCGCTTAACTATAAGAGTACCAAAATTTCCTAGAAGAATGGAAACGGTTACTGAGAATTCCATAGCATTATAAATAAGGCAATCCGCCTCCTCTTTATTATTCAGTCATGGTTTCGTGTGAAACGACACGTGTTTACTTCGAGTTTGCTGATAAATATGTCAATATAATTGATTGTTACGTTTAATTAATAAACCACTCAATATACCATAAAATGTCTGTATCATTATTTATCATGTCTGGTAAACGATAACGAAAATTGTAATTTGTGTTTCCATTCTTTTTAGCTTTCACGAAAGACATACGGAACCAGAGTAGGTACTTAGTGCTTAATCTATGTAATTATTTCGAAAAGCTATTGTCATTTTTAATTAAATTCACCTTTCATTAGACCACCTAACTCTAAATATCGTTTTACAAATGCGTACGTAGAAATTTTTGAAACGACATTCCGAATTAACTATAAAAAAAAAACAGACACGCTACAATTGAACCAACCAATCATTAAGTACAAATATATCTACAAGTGCTCACATTCATTGTCTTGTATAGAAACTAAGATAAGTTTCTTTCATATAAATAAGGCTGTACCATGTTTCATCTGAGTAAACTCACAATTTAAGATGAAGCTCGTCGTTGTTCTTTTAGGCATTGCGTGCGTCTTAGGTCATGGTAAGTTTTACTAGAATTAATTTAATTATTTGGCAATTAAAAGGTTAGAGGCGTTCGAAATGTGGTGTTATAGGCGGATGATGAGGATATCGTGGGTAGAAAAGGTTAGAAATGAAGAGGTATTGGAAAGAATAGGAGAACAGAGGACTCTATGGAAGTCAATAAAAAATAGGCGAGATAGGTTGGTAGGACACCTTCTTAGGCATAAAGGTCTAGCCAGAGACATATTAGAGGCAGAAACAGGAGTTAGGAGGGGTAGAGGTAGACCTAGATTAGATTACTGTTCGCAAATAGTTAAGGATGTGGGATGTTCTAGTTTTAGGGAAATGCGAAGTTTAGCTCAGGATAGGAAAAAGTGGAAGTGTGTGTCCAACCAGTCTTAGGACTGACGACCTTATGATGATGATGATGAATTTATTTATATTCTCGGAATAGGGACAGCAAATGTAGATTCACCATATCCGGCTTATGCACGAGATATAGAAATCTTGGAATTCGACGATACCAGAGTAACAAAAGGTCAAAATGCTGCTAGAAACCAATTCCCGTACCAGGTTTCCCTACGGTGGTTTAACGATTCTGTATTGCCCATTCCTCTCTGTGGTGGTAGCCTCATTTCAGCATCGGCGGTACTCACGGCTGCCCATTGCATGGCTTATGATGACGAAGGATCCTATGACATCGTCGCTGGAATCCTGGATCAATCTGAAAACACCTCGACCACTCAGAGACGAAGTGTTAACAGTTACGTTCTTCCCGATGATTGGCCTGGGTAATTAATTAACTACTTACTATCTTTTTTAATATGTGTATCATGCTTCCTATAAATAATTTCATTTTCTTCACTCATAAGCGGTAATTTTATATCCCCGTACGACATTGCTCTCTTAAAAGTAGCCTTACCCTTCATCTTGACCTATTCCGTCCATCCGATTCTACTTCCTCAGCAAGATGCCGTTGTTTCCGGATCTGTCATCGTTTCTGGATGGGGATACACGTCAGGTTCAGGTGACGCCGAGTTCCCAAGCATCCTGCAATACGTCAACGTAGACATTCTACCGAACGACAGTAAGTGAAATACCTAAACATCAACTCCTTTTAAGTACTAATCAACAAAAATATCTTCCTCTGTAGAATGTGCTGAAGATTTGACGACTGCATCGGGAACTCCCGGTGCTTTGGACGATAGCATGATTTGTACCACCGGTAGACAAAATGTGGCAACTTGCGGTGGTGACTCTGGCAGTCCATTGGTACAAAACGGTGTCCAATATGGGATTGTGTCGTGGGGTATCGGACCATGTGGTAGCACTATTGCGCCATCTATCTACACCAGAGTTTCAAACTATACCAATTGGATTAAAGCTAATTTGTAAAAAAAATATCTGCCACCCCTTTGGTAGTCAATCTGTACACAAAACCTAACACTGAATAAAAGACGCTTTACTTTCAAATTACATTCAGCATGATGAAATATTTAAGTACGTTATTACATTTGTCATATTATTTGAGTTAAAACATTGTGCCTCATCATAAAGATTGTTAAATTGAAGTTGCAAGATCTTAACGTTGATTAGAAAATTTAAAATCTCGAAAATCTATTCGGATTGAAGCATGTTTAAACGAAACTTTAAGTACCCAAGGGAAGGGAAAAATATTTGGAACATCGAGCATTTTGTTTTGGTTTGATTACCTAGCATTAAACCACTTCAGTTTTTTATTTTGTTTTTACGTATTTTCGTTTATTTATTTATTTCGATCACAAATTCCTTGAACAATACAATCACAAATTTGTGATATAAACATTTGAAGCATTCAGAAACGATGTTATTGCTTTCTCCATGATTGAATAACATCTCCTCTTAATCGGAATACCTACTTGCACTTCAGCACTGAGAAGCCATCTTGGGTTCATGGATTGTCACCTTTCCCTTTCTGTAACGTGACCATACGTCCCGTTTTGAACGGAACTAAGATGAATATAAAAAAACCTGCCAAGAATTTTGTTCTTATTTAAAAGCATCGCCAGGTGTATTAAAAAATATTTTCAATTTATAATAAAATGTAAATTTTTCTAAATAATAACCATTAAAAAATGTGTTTTTCGTTTTTCATTATTAACGTGCCAATTGACGTAAATGTCCCGTTTTGAGTAAAAAAATTAGTGGTCACATTACCTTTCTACCACACATACTTACTAAGGCTATCTACAAACGATGCGTGTACTAAAATAAATAATTTAATTTGTTGATTACAGTTTTAGATAGGAAGAAGAATTCATCAGTTCAAGAGAATTTCTATTCAGTCTAGGAACACGCGATTATATGACATGTGTAATTATTTCTTGTTTGTCGATAAAATTAAAAAAAAAATGTAGCATTTAATTAATAAATCTATCAACATTTGAAAACGTGCGTGTCACTGTTTATTGACGTCCGTAAAAGATAACGATTTTTTTTTATGTTAAAACAATTCTCTTTATCCCTAAGAAAAATAAGTACTAAATCACAGTAGCATACGTTCTAATTAAAGTATGAAGTTATTTCGAAGAAGAATTGTCATTTCGAATTAAATTCAACCTCCAGTAAGCCATCTTGCTGTAAAGATGCTTTTTAAAACTATATATATGTTGTTAAACAACAATCCAGATTAACCAGCAAAAAAAAGGCACGTTGCTATCGAAAAAATTAAATAAATGTTACGTAGATATATCTACAAGTGCCCTGATCCGTTCTTTTGTACATAAACTGAGATAAGTTTCCTTCGTATAAATAAAAGCCAGAATATTCACGCTCTAGTGGTTTAGTTGGACAAACTAGCAATTTTAGAATGAATTTATTTGTTGTTCTTCTAGGTCTTGTGTGCGCCTTAGCATATGGTAAGATTTGTTAGAATTAATTTAATTATCAGTCTATTTGTTTCTTTTTGACTAATTGTTGTCATAAGTCATTCGGATAATCAAAAATACGGATAGCTCAACCTCTATCATGACTACACTACAATTAGAATAAAAAAAAATATTTGCCCGTGGTTATTAGCAGTCTGAGTAATCGCGAATCTGTGTAACAGAAGTCTGCACTGTACATCAATTCCTATTAATATCTAAATAGGAGCACCGTACGTAGAAGATGTGGATTATCCTCAAGCGGCTTACGTGCTGGATTCTGTACCATCCGACGATACCAGGGTAGTAAATGGTGAAGCTGCTGTCAGAGATCAATTCCCCTACCAGCTTTCCCTACGGTGGGCTAACGTTTCAAGATCGCCCTCCCACCTCTGCGGCGGTACTCTCGTCACTCCGTCGATGGTTCTCACGGCTGCCCATTGTATGTTATATAACTATGGTACGTATGATGTCGTTGCTGGAGTCCTGAATCGGACAGAAAATACGTCATCAACTCAAAGGCGAGATATTGAAACGCGTATCCTTCACGAAAACTGGCCTGGGTAATTAATCAATCTCAATCTTTATCTCTCATGCTTCTTATAATTCAATCTTCTTCATACTTCAGCGGTAATCGTGTAGCCCGATATGACATTGCCCTGTTAAAACTATCCGCACCCTTCATCTTAACCCGTTCCGTCCAGCTTATTCGTCTTCCTTGTCAAAATGACATCCCTTCTGGGACTGCTGTTCTTTCTGGATGGGGATATACGTCAAGTTTAGCTAATACTCTCCCAATGATTTTGCAGTACGTCGAGGTAGACATTATATCGAACGAACGTAAGTGAAATATCTAATTACAAATTTGACGCACTCTTATTAATAAGAATATCTCTTTCGTTAGAGTGCGCTGACGATTTGAACACTGTATTAGGAACTATTCTTGCTTTGGACGATACCATGGTTTGTACCAATGGTCACCAAAACATATCGAGCTGCGGTGGTGACTCTGGCGGTCCATTGGTCCAAGATGGTGTCCAAGTGGGAATTGATTCGTGGGGTATCGTACCATGTGGCGTCACGGTTGGTCCATCGGTCTTCACAAGAGTTTCAAACTATACCGACTGGATTATATCTAAATTGTCAAGTGACGATGTGAAATACCTTTGAAAGTCACAAGTACATTTATGGTAATGTCATAAATCGTGTACATAAAACAATAATTCAATAAAATCCTTTTGGTAATAAAGAATGTCTATTATTTTAACATCCACATCTAATAATATTTTACGATTTTGAAATATTTCAAGTATGTTCATTCTTACATTTTTCATATTTTAACAATCTACCTCAACACGCAAAGTGTTTCAATTTAAAAATTAAAATTATAAGATCTTGCCTACGATTAAGATTATCCACTGCGTCTACGAAAGAAGTGGTGAAACAAAAATTGTAAATAGTCAATACGAGTACATTACCAAAAAAACGTATATTGTTGGTGATCCAAGTATTGGCGCTGTGTTGCCGGCTAGTAGGGTTTTCACTGCTAATTAAGCATTTCATGCGTTAGATATCTAGAGTCCTTTTAATCTAAAATATTTCTGATACGAAAACGAACGCTACTCACACATATATCTGCCAATGCGCATATTCACCGTTTTGTACAAAACCTGAAATACATATTTTTTTTTCTTATAAATAAGCGGCACAAACTTCAAGTCGCACAGAGATTAGGTAGATTGGGTAAACTGGCGATTTCAAAATGAATTCTTTTGTTGTTCTTTTAGGCCTTGTGTGCGCCTTAGCATATGGTAAGTTTTATCTCAATTAACTTAATTACCCATCTATTTATATGTTTATTCTTTATATATCACTTCCCTTTAATTATCTAAATAGGCGCGCCATACGTAGAATACAAAGATTATCCTCAAGCGGCTTACGTACTAGATTCCTTACCATCCGACGATACCAGGATAGTAAATGGTGAAGGTGCTGTCAGAGATCAATTCCCCTACCAGCTTTCCCTACGGTGGGCTAACGTTTCAGCATCACCCTCACACCTATGCGGTAGCACTCTCGTTACTCCGTCGGTGGTTCTCACGGCTGCCCATTGTATGTTATTCGACTATGGTACGTATGATGTCGTTGCTGGACTCCTGGATCGGACAGAAAACACGTCATCCACTCAAAGGCGAGATATTGAAACGCGCATCCTTCACGAAAACTGGCCAGGGTAATTATCTGATTATGACCTTTACATCTCTCATGCTTCTTATAATTCAATCTTCTTCATACTTCAGCGGTAATCGTATATCCCGATATGATATTGCCCTGTTAAAACTAACCTCGCCCTTCATTTTAACCCCTTCCGTCCAACTTATTCGTCTTCCTTGTCAAAATGCCATTCCTTCTGGAACTGTCGTCATTTCTGGGTGGGGATATACGTCAAGTTTAGATGACGAACTTCCAGTCATGCTACAATACGTAGAGGTGGACATCATTTCAAACCAACGTAAGTGAAGTATCTTGTTCTAATTTTGACGCATTCCTAAATCAAAAATATTCCTCTCTGCTATAGAGTGTGCTGACGATTTGATCGCTGTATTGGGAGATACCCGCGCTTTGGACGATACCATGATTTGTACGAATGGTCACCAAAACATATCGAGCTGCGGTGGTGACTCTGGAGGTCCACTGGTCCAAAACGGTATCCAATTGGGTATTGTCTCGTGGGGTATCGTACCATGTGGCGCCGGCATTGGTCCTACAGTCTACACAAGAGTTTCAAACTATACCGACTGGATTAAGTCTAAATTATAAAATGAAGATGCACCCCTTTGTTTAACTAAACAAACTTATACATAAAACAATCATTCAATAAAATACTTCTGCTAATAACGAACGTGTACTATTTAAACATCTACAGTTAATCTAATTTTGTAATATTTCAAGTAGGTACTGTTTAGAAATCTATCTCATCACGGAAAATTACTTTAACTTAAAAATTGATATTACAAGATGTTACCAATGATAAGAACGTTTAAAGTCTCCAAAATCTATACGGATTAAGGCATGATTAAATCCTAAATCCTGTGGTCAAATGAATATTGTCGGAAGACGACGAGAATCCATTACCCAAAAACATACATTTTCGGATGTATTTCATGTGTTAGATAAGGTCTTATTAATCTACAATATTTCTGATACGATGTTCTGGATTAACAATCAGGAAAAAAGACAAGTGGCCATCAAAAGAAACGTTAATCGCGAATATATCTACAAATGCGCGTGTTCAGTCGTTTTTTACAAAAACTGATAAATTTCCTTCTAATAAATAAGCGGCTCAAACTTCAGGTCCCACAGCGATTTGGTAACATCGCAATTTTAGGATGAATTTCATATTTGTTCTTTTAGACCTCGTGTGCGCCTTAGCATATAGTGAGTTTTATCTGAATTAAATTAATTATAGGTAATATATAAATAATATCCGAATAGGAGCACCATACGTGGAAGACGTGGATTACGAACAAACGGCTTACGTACAAGATATCTCATCATCCGACGATACTAGGGTACTAAATGGTAAACCTGCTGCCAGAGACCAATTCCCTTACCAGGTGTCCTTGCGGTGGGCTAACGTTTCAAGATCGCCCTCCCACCTCTGCGGCGGTAGTCTCGTTACTCCATCGATGGTTCTCACGGCTGCCCATTGTATGCTATTCAACTATGGTACGTACGATGTCGTCGCTGGACTCCTGAATCGGACAGAAAACACGTCATCCACTCAACGGCGAGATATTGAGACGCGCATCCTTCACGAAAATTGGCCTGGGTAATTAATTAATCGCAATATTTATCGCTCATACTTTTTATTATTTAATCTTATTCCCACTTCAGAGGTAGTGTAATCTCTCGATATGATATTGCTCTATTAAAAGTACTGTCACCGTTCGTCTTAACACCTTCCGTCCAGCTTATTCGACTTCCTCGCCAAAATGTCATTCCTTCTGGTACAGTTGTTCTATCTGGATGGGGATTTACGTCAAGATCAGATGCCAGTCTCCCGTTCATTTTACAATACGTCGAGGCAGAACTTATATCAAACCAACGTAAGTGAAATAGGTGTTTTTTGTTCGAATTTCACGCATTCTTATTGACTAGAACATCTCTTTCCGTAGAGTGCGCTGACGATTTGAACACTGCAATAGGAACTACTCTTGCTTTGGACGATACCATGGTTTGTATCAGCGGACACCAAAATAAATCAAGCTGCAGCGGTGACTCTGGCGGTCCATTGGTCCAAAACGGTATCCAAGTGGGAATTGATTCGTGGGGTATGTCACCATGTGGCATCCTTATTGGTCCATCAGTCTTCACAAGAGTTTCAAATTATACCGACTGGATTAAGTCTAAATTGTAAAATAAACAACTGCCACCATTTTAAAGGGTATCTGTACAATCATGGTACTATAAAGAAACCTGTGCATAAATAAAATGCCTTTGCAAATAAGGAACGTCTATTATTTAACCATCTACGAAATTATAAAATCTTGCCAATGATTAAGATTATCCAATGCGTCTACAGAAGAAGTGGTAAAACAAAAGATGTAAATAGTCGACTCAAATTCGTTACCAAAAAGGGTACATCTAGTGGATCTTTCGCTGCTAAATAAGCGCTTCGAGCGTCAGATATCTAAGGTCTTTTTAATCTAAAATATTTCTGATACGACGTTCCGAATTAATAATCAGGAAAAAAAACACGTGGCTATCAAAACAAACGTTAATCACACAATTATCTACAAATGCGCGTATTCACAGTTTTGTACAAAAAATGAAATACATAAATTTAATTCATATAAATAAGTGGCAAAAGCTTCAGGTCGCACAGTGATTTGGTTGGGTAAACTGGCAATTTCGAGATGAATTTCTTTGTTGTTCTTTTAGGCCTTGTGTGCGCCTTAGCATACGGTAGGTTTTATCTCAATTAACTTAATTACCCATCTATTTATATGTTTGTTCTATATATATATATATCACTTCCCTTAAATATCTGAACAGGCGCGCCATACGTAGAATATGAAGATTATCCTCAAGCGGCTTACATACTATATTCCGTACTATCCGACGATACCAGGGTAGTAAATGGTGAACCTGCTGTCAGAGATCAAATCCCCTACCAGCTTTCCCTACGGTGGGCTAATGTTTCGGGATCACCCTCACACCTCTGCGGTGGTACTCTCGTTACTCCGTCGATGGTTCTCACGGCTGCCCATTGTATGTTATTCGACTATGGTACGTATGATGTCGTTGCTGGACTCCTGGATCGGACAGAAAACACGTCATCCACTCAAAGGCGAGATATTGAAACGCGTATCCTTCACGAAAACTGGCCTGGGTAATTAATTAATTATGACCTTTATATCTGTCATGCTTTCTATAATTTTGTCTTCTTGACACTTCAGCGGTAATGTCGTATCCCGATATGACATTGCCCTGTTAAAAGTAACGTCACCCTTCGTCTTAACCCATTCCGTCCAACTTATTCGTCTTCCTTGTCAAAATGCCATTCCTTCTGGTTCCGTCGTCCTTTCTGGTTGGGGATATACGTCAAGTTTAGATGACGAACTTCCAAACATCCTGCAGTACGTCGAAGTAGACATCATATCAAACGAACGTAAGTGAAATATTTTATTCTAATTTTGACGCATTCGTATAGATAGAAGCGATTAACAAAAATATTTCTCTCTAACGTAGAATGTGCTGACGATTTGATCACTGCGTCGGGAAGTGCCGATCCTTTGGACGATACCATGATTTGTACGAATGGTCACCAAAATATATCGAGCTGCGGTGGTGACTCTGGAAGTCCATTGGTACAAAATGGTATCCAAGTGGGTATTGTTTCTTGGGGTATCGTACCATGTGGCGTCACCGTTGGTTCTACAGTCTACACAAGAGTTTCAAACTATACCGACTGGATTAAGTCTAAATTATAAAATGAAGATGCACCCCTTTGTTTAAGTACACAAACTTATACATAAAACAATCATTCAATAAAATACTTTTGCTAATAAAGAACGTGTACTATTTAAACATCTACAGTTAGTCTAATTTAATAATATTTTGCGATTTTGAAATATTTGCAGTATTCTAACATCTTTCATACCTTTTAGCAATCTAGCACCGAACGGCATGGCCTAGAGGTTTAGACCATTGCTTAACATTCGTGAGGACGCCGGTTCGAATCCGGGTCCGTCTGCCTTCGTCCAAGTTTTTCTGTGTTTTCCTTGGATCATCTAGGCAAATGCTGACGCAGTAATATTCCATAAATAATATTTCATTCTCTTCTGTCTTCATTTCGTCCGTCTCATCTTTCTCACCCGAACCACCACCCATCCATTTCCACGATTCCTGAAAGCAGGCTGAAGAGGGCCTTCCGCTAGAAGCTTTACTAGCTGGTGGGAATGAAACACCCAAAAATTGTAAAAAAAAGTTTTTAGCAATCCAGCTCATCAAGCAAAATTGCTTTAACTTAAAAATTGATATGATAAGATCTTATCAATGATTAGAATGTTTAAAATTTTGAAAATCTATTCGGTTTAGGGTATATTCAGATCCTATATTTAACCACAAAAGAAATGGTCAAACGAACATTGTAGAAAGACGACAGCAAGTCATAACCAAAAAGCGTACGTTGTTGGAACATTCAACTATAGTAGGCAGTATATCATCATCTAAAGGGTTTAAGGAAGTATTTCATGCGTCAGATAAGATCTTATTAATCTGAAACATCTCTGAAACAGCATTCTGAATCAATAACCAGAAAAAAATACACGTGTTTATCAAATCGAACGTTAATTACACATATATCTATATCTACGCATATTGAATGTTTTCCAAAAACACTAAGACATATAAGCTTCCTTCATATAAATAAGAGACAAAAACTTCAGACCGCACAGTGATTTGGTAAGGTAAACTGGCAATTTTAGGATGAATTTCTTTGTTGTTATTTTAGGCTTTGTATGCGCCTTAGCTTACGGTAAGTTTTATCTAAATTAAATTAATTATCTATTTATTTGTATCATTTCCTTTTAATATCTGAATAGGCGCGCCATATATAGAATATGAAGATTATCCTCAAGCGGCTTACGTACTAGAATCCTTACTATCCGACGATACCAGGGTGGTAAATGGTGAACCTGCTGTCAGAGATCAATTCCCCTACCAGCTTTCCCTACGGTGGGCTAATGTTTCGGGATCACCCTCACACCTCTGCGGTGGTACTCTCGTTACTCCGTCGATGGTTCTCACGGCTGCCCATTGTATGTTATTCGACTATGGTACGTATGATGTCGTTGCTGGACTCCTGGATCGGACAGAAAACACGTCATCCACTCAAAGGCGAGATATTGAAACGCGCATCCTTCACGAAAACTGGCCTGGGTAATTAATCAATCACAGTCTTTATCTCTCATGCTTCTTATAACTCACTCTTCTTCATACTTCAGCGGTAATCGTGTAGCCCGATATGACATTGCCTTGTTAAAAGTATCCTCGCCCTTCATTTTAACCCATTCCGTCCAACTTATTCATCTTCCTTGTCAAAATGACATTCCTTCTGGGACTGTTGTCGTTTCTGGATGGGGATATACGTCAAGTTTAGATAACGATCTCCCAAACATCCTGCAGTACGTCGAAGTAGACCTTATATCAAACGAACGTAAGTGAAATATCTAATTCAAAATTAATGCACTCTTATTAATAAGAATATCTCTTTCGGTAGAGTGCGCTGACGATTTGAACGCAGTATTAGGAACTACTCTTGCTTTGGACGATACCATGATTTGTACCAATGGTCATCAAAACATATCGAGCTGCGGTGGTGACTCTGGCAGTCCATTGGTCCAAGACGGTATCCAAGTGGGTATTGTATCGTGGGGTGTCGTACCATGTGGCGTCAACATTGGCCCTTCGGTCTACACAAGAGTTTCAAACTATACCGACTGGATTGTGTCTAAATTATAAAATAGAAATGTGCAACTTCTTTGAATGGGATTTATTCATGAACATGTAAACGAACCTGTACATAAAACAATCTTTCAATAAAATCCTTTTGCTAATAGAGAACGTCATTTATTTAAACATCTATAATTAATCGAATTCTATCTGCAGGTTACTACAAATATTTGGGGGTGCTATTCAGTTAAAATAATTCAAAAGATGAGAGTTGCTACCTTCAGCGTCACCATGTCTCTTTTATGATACTGTTCCTTCATGGTCCATTTCTCCATAGCTTTAATTGTTCCTTTATTCATTTAGTAGCAAATACTCAATCCATCTGAGGAAGTCAATGTTATATTAATTGCACTTTTTGTTGAACCAAATGTTCGATTGTATATTTTCACCCTTAAACTCAGTCTATAAGACCATTTGACTTGTAGTATTAGATCAGTAATCTTTAATAATATGATTGATAGACTATTAAAAAAAAACCTTTAAATAAAAGTAACTTTGATAAGGAATTAGTAATTGTGCGATATTTACTGATACGGGAACAAGAACCAAATCATTCTTTTAAAGATTTCACGATTAAAGATAACGATTCTTCGGAGAAACGAATAAGCAATGTTTATGCAGCCTCTTGACATTTTTTATTAAGAAATATTCAGATACGCATCTATATGTGATACCACTACGTATTACTATAATCGTCCAACCAGTAGTTATTTTCCTTTAATAGATTTTTGGTGGATGATTATCCAAATAATTATTGAAGTGGAAGTTCTTCATCGACAGTAGGAAGGAAATTTAGTACGGTATAAAATCGGAATGTGTAACGTCACGAGCCAGAGCGTCACGCGTCACGCGCTACGTGTGACCTCTGGTGGATATGTCTAAAAGGATTCGTTTTAACAGGCTTCAGAAGCTAATCTGTTAGTAGCAACTGATAATCCGAAAATNATGTGAGTCAAAATTCAATTTTCATCACTTTTTTGATTATAAATATCTATAAAGACATAAGATTGAAAAGATAGTTCTTCAATTTATCAAAAAATTCCGTTTTTACCGTGAGAATTATTACTAAACCTCCATAAAGTTACTTGTTAAATGTTCCCTTTTGAAAACAAGATTATCTAAATATTTTAACTCCAATACTCTTTTTCTCTACCTTTTTGAAGTGAAACTTCTTTATCGACGGTAGGAAGGAAATTTAGTAGGATATAAAACTGAAAAATGTAACGTCACGCGTCACAACGTCACGCGCCACGTATGACACCTGGTGGATATGTCTAAAAGGAGTCATTTTAACAAGCGACAGAAGCTAACCTGTTTTGATTTGTAATTCCTCTATGCTGTTTTGTATGGTACAAGCGTAATAGTTTTTAATAAAATTAAACCTATATTTCGCATTCGCCCGCTCGAAATAAAATTTATTTTTCTGGTGTTTAGTAATTAGTTAATGCAATAGTTTAAGCTATTTTTTTTAATACTACTATAATATACAATCTAAAGAAGTTTCATTTCTTACGCGTGCACACTAATACCTACACGATCTTCCTCTTTTTTTTCTTTTCCGAAAAGTTTAATAATTTAAAGACGTTGCTTGGCCCTTTGTCTTATAGATGGTTACAAGTTGCAAAAGTTTATTGCATAGGCTCCAACAGCCCCCAGTGGGCGCCAGAGCCTCCCACGGTCCCTAGTGACTTCAGAGATAAACAAGGAATCAGGGGGTGGTACTTTTTTCTTCTAAAGGGGTGACGGTCCGAAAAAAATTGAAAAACCCCAGTTTAAAGGAATAGCCATGAGATAAATCTTATATATAAAACTTATGTAGACTGTAAAAAACAACGAAAATTATGTTTCAATCCCACTATTAATGTCCCTGGAGTGAAAGGATTAGCCAGCCAAAGCTGTTGCCCGGGGGACGCCCGAATGTACACTCAGTACATTCTTCGAGGAGGCTCCTTTCGTGTCCCCCATCCTATCCCATTTTACTATTTATCCCTAACAAAAGTACTAAACCGTGGTATTTTCTACGTAAATATCCGTTTCCAATTAAATTACCCCTCCAATTCATCATCGTAGTTTTAACAGACATTTTACAATTTCGTAGATACGAAAGATATTTAATTGCAATGATATTCGCGATTAACCTGTTAAAAAAATGACAAATTACTTTCGAGACAATTAATCAAATGCTAATTACATATATGTATCATCTATAAGTGCTCACATCCGTTGTCTTGCATTGAGTGAGATTAGTTTTCTTGGTATAAATAACACCAAAATACTCGAGGCTGTGCAGTGGTCTGGTTGAGGTAAACTGGAAATTTAAAAATGAAGTTACTCGTTGTTCTTTTAGGCCTTGTGTGCACCTTAGCCCATGGTAAGTTTTATTACAAACGTTTATTTATTTATTTATTTATTTATTGTAATGCCTGAATAGGGGCACCAAGCGTACACAAGATAGATTCACCCCATCCGGCTTACGCAAAAGATATAGAAATTTTACCATCCGACGATAGCAGAATAATTCGTGGTCAAAATGCCGTCAGAGACCAATTCCCCTACCAGGTTTCCCTACGATGGGGTTACATCACAGCGTCTTCGCACATGTGCGGTGGTAGTATCATCAGTGCATCGGTGGTACTCACGGCTGCCCATTGTATCGATGACTACGGTACCTACGCCATCGTTGCCGGACTCTTGAACCGACTGGAAAGTACCTCAACTACTCAAAGCCGAGGTGTTAGCCGAATTATCGTCCACGAAAACTGGCCCGGGTAATTAATTAAACACAATCATTATCGGTTACAGTTTTTATAGTAGAATGAAGACTAAGTAAGAATAGTTCACTTAGATCACGGCCCTATAGCCCGAACCTTCATTCTACTATGGATTCCGGCCGTGAAAGACTTTGTTCTTATACAGTTTTTATAATTTCGTTTTGTTCATTTTTCAGTGGTAGTTCCGTCTACCCATGGGACATTGCCCTAATAAGAGTATCGTCACCGTTCGTATTCAGTTCGTCCGTCCAACCTGTTGAACTTCCTAGCCAAGGTTCCACTACATCTGGAGACGTTGTCGTTTCTGGATGGGGAAGGACTTCAAGTTCGAGTTCCGCTCTCCCAAGCGTCCTGCAATATGCCAACCTAGAAATTCTGGCAAACACTCGTAAGTGGAATAGTTCGTCTAATAGTTCGGAAGTACTAATGAAACAACAAAATTATTTTTCCCTGTAGTGTGCGCCAATGATTTAGTCAGCGTATTAGGATCTTCCAGTCCTTTGGACAATACAATGGTTTGCACCAGTGGAAGACAAAGGTTGGCAGTTTGCAGTGGTGACTCTGGTGGTCCATTGGTCAAAGACGGTATCCAAGTGGGTATTGTATCGTGGGGTATCACACCATGCGGTAACACTATTGCTCCGTCCGTCTTCACAAGGGTTTCAAGCTATACCAACTGGATCGAGGCTAATTTGTAAAATGGATTTCTGCTGCTCCCTTGAAACGCATTTCTTTTTGAGCATGTTAATAATTCTGTATAAAACGAATAACTAAATATAACAACGTTAACTACTCAACTACGTCACGTTTATTATTTAAACCAATAAATCTTCGTGATTTATCGCAAAAATTGAATTCAAAACGTTTGATGTTCTCAATGTAAAAAGGGACAACTAATAATGCTTAGGTATATTTTTCTGTTTTGGCTCATTAGAAGTGATTAATTGCATTTTTGTCATTTCAACAATGTAAAGATTTGCCACTAATTGTGGTTATTAACCAGCACCTGCATCTCGTCTTCCCTCTACTCGGATATGAGGCAAATATTATAGACAAAACTTAATTTGCAAAAGACAACGAAAACTTTGTTTCAACCCTATGTATTCCCAAAAGAAATACAAAAACACAGTGCTTTCTGCTTAACGTTAATTATGTGCAAGAAAAATTATCGTTTTCAACTAAATTCATTCTTCAAATCATAATCTTAACTTACAAACACTTTGTACACCTACATGTGGATACAAAAAATATTTTACAACAACGACATTCAAGATTAACCACAAAAAAAAACAAAGACATTTCTATCGAGACATTTAATCAATTATTAATTGAAGATGTCTACAAGTACAAACGTAAATTGTCTTGTACCTAAACTGAGATAAGTTTCCTGTTTCCTTCATATGAGTAAGAGTCGAATTCTTCGGGCTGTACATTCGTTTGATTATGTTATCTGGCAATTTAAAAAATGCTGTTCCTCGTTGTTATTTTAAGCCTTCTATAAGCCCTAACGCTTGGTAAGTTTTGCTAGAATTGTTTATTTATCGTATTTGTTCGATCTATATCAATAAGTTTTACCTAATATCTGAATATTCCGACGATACCAGGATAGGACACAGGAAGGTCTAGTCAGAGACATATTACAGGCACAAACTGAAGTTAGGAGGGGTAGAGGTAGACCTAGATTAGATTACTGTTCACAAATAGTTAAGGATGTGGGATGTACTAGTTTTATGAAAATCCGAAGATTAGCTCTGGATTGTGGAGTGGGGATGCATGTCCAACCAGTCCTAGGGCTGACGAGCTCATGATGATGATGACCAGGTCAATAGGAAGTAATATATCTGTCAAATACAAATTATCTTACCAGATTTCCCTACAATAGACAGCCAGTTGTATCCAGGACTACGGTACCTACATATACTATTGTGGCTGGACTTCGAAATAGAAACAATTTACCCTAATCTGCTCAAAGCCGAAGTACTAAGAAAATTATAGTTCACGAAAACTGACCTGTATAGGCAATTGATTAATTACTATCTTTATTGAACAAATAAGTTCATAGTGAACAATGTTATGTTAGCGATTTCGATCTTGTTAGATCTCACCAGGGCGTGGCATACTATGTTTATTGATTATGCATTTTTGTAATTTCATTTTCTCCACCTTTCAGTGGTAGTTCTGTCTCCCCCTGGAACATTTCCTTAAAAGTAGTATCCTCACCCTTCGTCTTTTTTTTTTGTTGGACTGTAGCGTATCCTTTTTCAACACTGTAAAGTACAAACCCATTCGATACAAAATTTTGTTTTTTAATTTAAATCGACGATGAGAACTCTATGTAAAGTGGTTCCGACTTCATAATTTGCGTTCTTGAATGCTTAATATTTCTAATGAGTGAACAGTACTTTGAATCGTCGTTTAAGAGCGATTTGGATAAATTTCGATAAATAATACCTACAAACATAGTTATATTATTGATCCTAGAGCTTCAAGAGTCATCTAAGTTGAAAGGCATCAAGGCTGAGAATATCAACCGCCCTCATCGTTCAGTTGTGAAGTGCATGCAATTATTTGTCGTTTATTGTATAGTATAAATGGAATATTTATAGTATTTCTCTCTCTAGAGAATGTAATTTGAGCCTGTCTCTGCGACATATGGTGCTGGTTACAAGTGGATTCTTTTATTATTATTGATTCCTTTTCAATAAACAACGTCCAATTATAAACTAGCAATGGATATGAGACGGTGGTGAATCCAAGAGGGTGGGACACGGGAGGAATCCCTCTTCCCAAGAAAAACAAGAATAAAAATAAAACCATGACTTGATGTTTTGTTAATTTTATTTTCATCTTAATTTCAACAAACATTTTACATGTTTGCAGATAAGAAAAATGTTTTATTGCATCAACATTCGAGATTAACTAGAAAAAGATACATATTTTTATCGGGACAGTTAATCGCCTGTTTGTTAAATAGATCTATAATCTATAAGTGCGTACATCCGTTGTGTTAAGCTGAGATAAATGTCTTCGGTTTTTATAAATAAGAGATGCAGGAAACTGACTTGCATTCTACCGCCGTTTAGTTGAAAAACCTGGCAATTTAATAATGAAGTTTCTCGTTGTTCTCTTAAGTCTTGTGTGCGCCCTAGCCCTTGGTAAGTTTTATGAGAATTAATTTAATTATCTATTTATTATATTTTTTTATTTTCAATTTTCTATACGTTGCGTTCTAATTTCCGAACAGGGGCGCCAAACGTGCAAAAGGTGAATTCACCCCGTCCAGCCTACGTAAAAGATATAGAAATTTTGCCATCCGACGACACCAGGATAATACGTGGTCAAAATGCCGTTAGAAACCAATTCCCCTACCAAGTTTCCTTACGGTGGGGTTACATATCATCACCGTCCCACATCTGCGGTGGCAGTATCATTAGTTCACTGGTGGTACTCACGGCTGCCCATTGTATCCAAGACTACGGTAGCTATACAATCGTTGCTGGACTTCTAGATAGAGCCGAAAGTACGTCATCTACTCAAAGCCGAAGTGTTAGCAACATTGTCGTACACGAGAACTGGCCCGGGTAATTAACTAACCACCTACCTACCACTATTATCGATAACACTTTTTACAATTTCATTTTCTTTGCGCTTCAGCGGTAGTAGCCCAGCCCCATGGGACCTTTCCTTAATAGTAGTAGAAACACCCTTCACTGTTACCTCTTCCGTCCAACCCATTGAACTTCCTAGCCAAGGAGCCCCTACATCTGGAGACGTCGTCGTTTCTGGATGGGGAAGGACGTCAGGTATAATTTCCACTATCCCAAGTACCTTACAATACGCAGACCTAGAAGTTCTACCAAACGAAGGTATGTATTTTTGTCTTTTGTCTGGTATGTCTATCTCTCATCATCAGTTAAACGTGTCCAAAATGCTCGATAATTGCACTTAAAAATTTTACAGAAATAACGAAAACTGCGTGATATTGTATAAAAGTATGAAGTACTGAAAGAATTTGTTAAATTTAAACCAGTTTTATTAAGCGTTTTAAGTGATATTTGCCTGGACAACTGAACATAATCTATAGAACGAGAATAGCAAATAGTATAACATTCTGGAGCTAACTGACTACTAAAACATTTAAATAAAAGATGGGAAGTTTGCTTTGACCTGCTCTCAACATTTAGAATCAAAATCTTTAATTAAAAATCAACACTTTTGACGAATTCCGATTGGAAATATTCGGGCGCATCTAAATATCTCTATCCGATTGTATAACTGGTTGCTTGCATATGCATATTTATATCAAATTCGGGCATATAGTTGGTTGTGTAGGTTACCACCAACAACATGAACCATCGTCTAAATTTGGAGTCAATTCTAAATGTCTTCGACGTAGTTATTACTGCTAATCAATGAAAATATCTTTTTCTACAGAGTGCGCTGAAGATTTGATTAGTGTGATGGGAAGTTCCGGTGTTTTAGACGAGACCCAAATTTGTACGAGTGGAAGACAAAGGAAGGCAGTTTGCAGTGGTGACTCTGGTGGCCCATTGGTCAAAGACGGTGTCCAAGTAGGTATTGTCTCGTGGGCTGTCACGCCATGTGGCATCACCATTGCTCCATCTGTCTATACAAGAGTTTCAAGCTATTCTAACTGGATTTACAATAATTTATAAAACGGATATCTGCCACTCCTACCTTTCGAACATATGAATAAATAAGTCTGTACAGAAACATTAAATAAAGCACAAAACTATTTCATGTCTTTTATTTAATTCTGTAAAACCTGCAAGATCGTCATAAATATTAATTGATTGGTTCGCATTTATTTCTACGGAATCGTGAACAAATCCTTTGCTGTTATATTTCGAAAATTGTAAAGCGGTTTTGTTTAGTTCCCGAATATCTAACATTTCTAAGGAGTACTTACACAATATGTCCGGATCCTCTCTTGAAGGGACTCGGGTATATTATTAACCCTACATTTTCAGAGGTCACCAAAAAAAGGAGTTGTGGAGGTAATGTACTTTAAACGAAAGTAATTCAAATGTATTATTAATATAAACCCGAAAGAATAAGGGACCAAGATTGGTACCCCGGGGAACTCTAGTGATAATAAGTGATGGAAAGACAGATAGTATTCATGAGTAACAGTGTAAAAACAAATTCGTTATGTTATCATCATCATCATAAGGTCGTCAGTCCTAAGACTGGTTGGACACGTACCTCCACTCTTTCCTATCCTGAGCTAAACTTCTCATTTCCCTAAAACTAGAATATCCCACATCCTTAACTATTTGCGAACGGTAATCTAATCTAGGTCTACCTGTACCCCTCCTAACTCCTGTTTCTGCCTCTAATATGTCTCTCACTAGACCTTCATGCCTAAAAAGGAGTCCTACCAACCTATCTCGCCTATTTTTATTGACTTCCATAGAGTCCTCTGTTATCCTATTCTTTCCAATACCTCTTCATTTCTAACCTTTTCTACCCACGTTATCCTCATCATTCGCCTATAACACCACATTTCGAACGCTTTCTAGTCTTTTCTTTTCCGCCGCGCCCACTGTCCATGTTTCGCACTCGTACAACGCTGTGCTCCAAACATACACCTTTAACAATCTTTTTCAAATTTCTAAATTAACCGTTCGCGAGCACAGAAGTGACTTCTTTTTATTACAGGCGACACGACCCTGTGCTATCCTNAATTAATTAAATACCTACTTACCACTATTATTGGTTACGCTTATTCTAACTTCATTTCTCGACCCTTTAGCGGTAGTGTTGTCTCTCCATGGGACGTTGCTTTAATAATAGTATCATCACCGTTCGTTTTTACCACTTCCGTCCAACCTATTGAACTTCCTAGCCAAGGAGCCCCTACATCTGGAGATGTCGTCGTTTCTGGATGGGGAAGGACGTCAGGAATAATATCCGGTGCCCCAAGTGTACTACAATACGTCGACCTAGGTAATAGTTTAGAAACGACGGGATTGCTATTTCACCAAGAAATTATTCCATTACTATGGAGATAATAACAAAATAAAGTAGTTGCTAATACCTACGATTAGATTAGATCACCTAGGTATTGATTCATACGTCTGTTGAATTCAGTTAAAATAATATAATGGCATCTAATTATAGGTAGCACTATTTTTGAGCACCATGATATTTGATAAGATTACACTCGCACTCAAGAATTTGATATTTCCTATAGATTCAACAATGGAATTTATATTGCATTTGATGTACAAGATGATCCCATCATTCTTATTAATTTACTGTCATCATAATGAATATTACACCATGGCAAATTCAAGTACGTATATTGTGTAACAAGTTAAACAATCGATGGAACATCAAACTGTATCGTAATACCAACTGAGAGAAAAGGTTTTGAACACCATATTATCTACCATGTTACTCAAATTCTATGACTACCTGTACTCTTATGTAAACTATAGATATCATTATTCTGTCCCTAAATCTCATCCTTATATCCTCAAGTACATTTAAGATGTTCTCCCATTTAATTTTGTCAAAAGATTTTTCGATCCTATACACTTTTTTGTTCGTTTTTCTTTTCACATTGTATTATATTTATATTATTATAAAAACAACGAACGATGTTTTGCTTCAGGTGAAAAGCTTTATTGAGTCTTTGGAAGATTGTCAGAACGTATGGTCTCCAATTCAGGTACATATTCATCATCATCATAAGATCGTCAGTCCTAGGACTGGTTGGACACGCATCTGCACTCCTTCGTAACCTGAGGTAATCTTCGCATTTCCCTAAAACTAGAACATCCCACATCCTTAACTATTTGTAAACAGTAATCTAACCTAGGTCTACCTCTACCCCTCTACATTCCTGTTTCTGCCTCTAAAATGTCTCTCACTAGACCTTCATGCCTAAGAAGGTGTCCTACCAACCTCATCATCATCATCATCATAAGGTCATCAGTCCTAAGACTGGCTGGACACGTACCTCCACTCTTTCCTATCCTGAGCTAAACTTCGCATTTCCCTAAAACTAGAACAACCCACATCCTTAACTATTTGCGAACAGTAATCTAATCTAGGTCTACCTCTACCCCTCCTAACTCCTGTTTCTGCCTCT